TTAGGGCCAGGGTTTAGTGGTGGGATGGCAGGGTTAGGGGAACGGTTGGGCTGGGTGATCTTAAAGGGCTTTTCCAACCTGAATGATTCTATGATTCTCTGATTCATGACTTCACAAAGTGCCCTTCTGGCTAAATGTCATCATTTCATGCAGTTTTTAAGCACCCATAAAATCCAGCTAGAGGTGTCCAGCACCTCAAAATGACAATGCTGCAACCCAGGCAAGCCAGTTTGCAGCACAGGGAAGTGGGCCCAGCTGGAGACACGGAGAGATAAGCAACCAACTACTAACATAGCAAGGTAGCCCAAGATAAAAATCTAATAACGTCGCAGACTAAGATACTGCTCAGAGCACAGAGAACCTCTCCCAGGCTGCAGTCTGCCCCAAAAGCCTCTTCAGTAATCACATTAACAGTCATCATAGCAATCATACGAACGAAACTGCTAACACGCCGTTTCCCAGTGCTGAAGCCAGCACAAGGAGAAAGTTACCATCACCCACTAGCTGCCGAGGCAGGGTGCTTTCCGCTGGAGAATCTTGCACTTCTGCAGAGAATTTGCTAGCCTGTGGCTAACGAGCATGGTTAATCACCATTCCCACCCTAATAGCGCCCACACCTTTGTGGGTGCTCTCTGACTCTTAGTAGCTCACATCTTCCTACAGCCCAAGCGGAACCTTTCTGTGCAATCTGAACTACGCAGATCATCTCCATTGCCTTCTCCCCTTCGCTTTGCTCCCACTCAGAAGTATCAGCTTCGTTAAAAATAGAAGCCAGACGTACACAGAGCAGATACCGTACCTCACCATAACTGGTCAAGGCTCCTGACCCGGCGGAGTAGGCAGAGAGGTTCGTTAGTCCACAGAAACCACAGGACAGCTCAAAAGGCAGTGAGATTCGTAGGATACGGGAGGTGGGGAGAGCTTGCTCTAGGATGTGGAAGGCAGCTTGCTGCCCGATAGGAAGGTTCCAGCCTCCAGCATCCTTCAGGAGGGTTGGCCAAGGTGGTGGAGCCTGGAAAGTTTCAAGCGAAGAAGTGACAGCTCGTTATTTACCAAAAACCAGCCCAGCTTATTCTGGAAGGGAGTGGGGGTGGAGAGAAGAAAAGGAAGTCATCTCGTTCTCTTATCGGTACAGAGCCGGCAGCTGTGAATCGGGTGTTTAAAGGGGAGCGGGGAGGGTAACCACCGCGCGCACATGGTACGTGACGCCATCGCCCTGTCAGCTCATGGGCAGCCGAAGCTAAAGAAAAGAGAAAGAAAAAAGAACGGCTGATGGGCAACGTCCTGCTCCACGGAGCTGCTGTATCTGAGCAGCGCTTCCTATGCAACCTTCCTCCCCCCTGCAAAGCAACGAGAGAGGTTTCTGCTCCGGGGCTTCTGTGCCGGGCGGTGCTGCTGGAAGAGAGCAGCCATCGCCTCCAGCGCGGCTGGGAGGGGAGAGCATCCAGGCTCTGCTCCCGTCGGGGACGGGGCTGCCACGCTCCTTCGGGAGGAACCTTCAAGTGACTCAGAGACATCTTTGCACCGCCGCTTGCTTTTGGGGTTTCCTACTTTCGGCTTAAGCAGCAGCCCCTTCATTTGGCTCTGACTCTGTTCCTCCACCCTCCGAAGCGGGGTTCATAGCCCTTTACTCGTGCACCTTCTCTCTCCGCCCTGTGAGCAATTTGGGGAAACACTGCCCTGCTCTATGCATTAACCAGCACGCACTGCTGAGCCCCGAAGACAACCGTGCATCAGGCAGAAGCATTTCTACACAGCCCTCCTGAGCTTGCTTTTCCCAGACAGTCAGCAGGAGCATGCAGCCCACACCGCCGTAAGGCACCCAGCTCAGCATCCCCGTATTCAGGCACGGAGAGAAACTTCCCGAGGGTGATGCAGAACAGAGCCCAATTCTCTCCCCCGGTGAGACAGGGCCACTCATAGAATCACAGAATCGTCTGGGTTGGAAAAGACCTTTAAGATTATCAAGCCCAACCGTTAACCTAACACTGCCATCCTAAACCCTGTCCCTAAGCACCACATCTGCCCAGCTTTTAAATACCTCCAGGGATGGGGACTCAACCCCTTCCCTGGGCAGCCCATTCCAATGCTTAACAACTGCCCCTCGTCCCATCGCCCCTTCCCTGGGAGCAGAGCCCGACCCCCCCGGCTCCCCCCTCCTCTCAGGCAGTTGTAGGCAGCGATGAGGGCTCCCCTCAGCCTCCTCTGCTCCAGGCTGAACCCTCCCAGCTCCCCCAGCCGCTCCCCAGCAGCCTGGGGCTCCAGACCCCTCCCCAGCTTTGTGGCTCTCCTCTGGACATGCTCCAGCAAGGCAACGTCTTTCTTGGAGTGAGGGGCCCAACACTGAACCCAGTGTTCAAGGGGTGGCCTCACCAGCACCGACTACATCTCCGCCACTCAACACAGGTGCCTAAAGTTAGGCAGCCCAAGCATCCCAACACGTCCAGGTCTGGGGTTTAACGTGGAGAGATGGCAAGGTTTACAGGGGGAGATAGCATCTTTTATTAGATCAGACGATATAATGGGAAAATGCAGACAAGCTTTCAGGCACACAGACCTTTCCTCAGGCCGCCCCTGGGCAGAACTCGTGTTCTTGGTCCTGCAAAGAAGCCAAAGGCTGCAGCAACAGAGGAGAGAACTCCACTCTTCCAAACAGAGCCTAAACCCACCACCCATCTCCCTCTCCTAGCTCAGCAAGCTAGCGAGGAAGACCACGAACCCAGTCCTAGCAAACTTGGGATCATTACAGCCCCGCAACCGCATGACTGGCCAAACAGCCTGGTTCCTTAACATCCCTGCGTCACCAGCTTCAGACAGCGGGAGAAACAAGAGCTCAGAAGGCTGTCCTGTGGGCTGGCAAACAACTAAACACACATCAATCAAGGTATTAAATAGCTGGGAATGCGGCTGCCTCTGCAATCCCGAGTATTTAGTCCATTATCCCGCAGACACTTAGCGCAATTATGGTTGCTTTGCGGCTGGCCGTTAACGTGCCAACAGAGCAGCTGTGGCACAGAGGAGCTTAGAGATCAGCAACAGCCTCAACCGCAAAGCAAAGCCGGGCGCTCTGGAAGTCCTGCACACCGCGGGGAGCTCGGGAACGCTGGGCAGGACCAGGGAGTGACCCCGCAGGGCTCGGCTGGTCCTGAAGGGAGGGAGCGGGAGGTGAACAGCGCAGAGCTGGGTCTACTTTTGGGGTTTGTCCCCACCCAAGTGGCTTGTAGAAGAAGAGCCAGGCTTCTCATCCCGCTAAAGAGTAGCTCGTACACTCAAGAAGGACGCTCGCTTCCAAGTCGGTAGGAAAAGCTGATAGCCCCGGAGGGGAGAATCATAAAATCATAGAATCGTCTAGGTTGGAAAAGACCTTTAGAATCATCAAGTCCAACCGTTCCCCTAACCCTGCCATCCCACCACTAAACCCTGGCCCTAAGCACCTCATCCATCCTTCTTTTAAATCCCTCCAGGGATGGGGCCTCGACCGCTCCCCTGGGCAGCCCCTTCCAGAGCCTGAATCAGAGAGAATCAGAGCAACTCAGGGGCACGATTCCCGCTAATGGAGAATATCCAGGCAACCCTCCAGAAGTGCCAGGCTTCCCCACGTGCTCCCCAGGTGCCTGATGCAGCTGGTGGGAGCAGCTCGCGGAATAACGCTTCCCGCGGGAGCCTCAGAGCGCTGCAGCCGGGGCAGCGAGGTGTAAGGTGCTGAACAATGCTTTGATAATTTTTTTATCCTGAATAAACATGGATATTTTCAATACAGTGATGTGAGGCAGTTTCTCTTTTGAGTTCATCATTCTTTCTTTAAATTTAATTCCTAAGTGGTTCTACATTAGCTATCACCTCAGCAATCAACCGACAGCTGAAAACATTAACCAGAAAAATCGAGATGTCTTTCCAGCATGGTATCCAGCCCTGTCAGCAAAGAGTGGTCACCCCCAAGAGGTCTCCTCGCTACCCTTCCCAACCGTTCCTCCGAAAGCACAAGAACAGCTCTTCCTTTCCACTCCTGCGCTCTCACGCAGGGGCTGAGCAGAGCCACGGAGCCCCAGCCTGCTGCCTCGCCTCTCGTGCCA